AACAGTTGTATAGTAGTATAATGTAAGCACACATCTAAAAAACCATGTTTTGAGCATTTGTATAAACCAATGTTTTGCATGCACATTCTCTTCATCCTCTTAATCGATCATACGAAAAATAAAATTTAATTTGCGCCCTAGATATGGTCAAAATTAATACCATCCATCAATGAATCTCGACCGTCTATTTGGTTAATTTTAATATCTAGATCTTAATATATTCAGAATCACTTTATTCGTTTTTAGTATTGTTAATCTAATGATGATGACACTATATAAAAATTTTGGAAAGAAAAAAAATCCTTCCAAAACCTATATCTAACCACCGCATTAAAATGAACGGCTTATGTTAATTGGGCTAAAAAAAATTTTAAGGCATTTTTTCAAATTTTTTTTTTTTGTAATCGTTCTTTAGAATGAAAAGAATGTACATTAAAAAATTCATGCCTTACAAGTGTCTCTAACATGATTTTTGAAGAGTTACATTATACTACTATATAAGTGTCCAAAATTGCTGAATAAAACGATAAAACACCCTAACATAACCCAACATTAAAACATAATCACATCTATAGGTACTGTTTTCAGTTTCACTTCATCAAAGAAGACCATCAATTTCACGAGTCCAAACTGCTCCAAAACAAGCTGGAAGTCTAAAAAGATAGTTCATATAATGGACACGCATGTCCAAAGTGTAAACAGCGGTGACCAAAGAACAACAATTTTAACAGTCAAAACATCCTGCAAACCCAACTGAAGTCTAGTCCCACAAAACGATATTTGTAAACTTCGTATGATGTGACGGCAGGCATGTCCAAAGTATACAAAATGCTTCCCTCCATTACACTGTCTGTTCTCCTCGAAACCCGAATCACCAAATCTGGCTTGAAAAACATTCCTAAAAACAAAAAAAAAGCAAACCCATCCAAAAAAGCCAAGTTTCAAATATTCAGTTCAGGGTCAGGGATCATCCTCCACTACACCAATTCATCCCAAAGAACATGCTCCCAATCATAAGGGCTCTCCGGGAAGGGGCTCCTCTGACCTGGTGGATTCTCAAAATATCGCTGGAAACCCAAAGTCTGATAAGCTGGAACTGGAGGTGCACCACAAACGCGCACGTCTCTTAAAATTGCCGGCCGTCCTGATCTATTACCACTATCACATTGTCTCTCTCTAAGTACAGGTCGAGTCCCGCCTGTCTCAACTTCCCATTGGGCAAAGAGCCTTTCCTTCCCCTCTATATATGCTGACTGAGTTCTGCCTGTTTCAGTTTTCCCATCAGAGAAAGAGGGAATGATAGACATGGCTGCTTCTTCCTCTTCTGTACGTGAACTATGTAGCTTGGTTAGAAAATCCAAGTTAGAATAAGACCTAGATCTTAGAGAAAACCTTGGTTCACATTCTTGTGGTGGAGAAACTGAGGGATCTTTCCGGTTTTTGAGGACCATAAATCTTGCCATAACAGCAGTTATGTCTTCTGATTGAGCCTCAACTTTTTCATCTGGTTTTTCATCTGGTTTAGTTTTATGATTGGTTGAGGTTTCTTTAGCTTCTTCTGAGGTTGGCTGAACATCTTCGATGCTAGTGTTGCATGTTGCTTTCGCACTTTTCACTTCTGAGTTTGTGATAGTTTCTTCTAAGTTTACAGATTCCATCATGGTGCCAACTGAAATGAGAGCATAGGAATGACATCAGAGGAGTTAGAAATGAAACTGCCAGACTAGCTTGGCTGATTGAGTCACATGGAGGAAAATGAGTTAGAATTTGAAATGATTTCAGTTAAAATCAAGTTTAGAGTTATGGGGAAGTGTACTATGACTTGGAAGTGTCTTCACAGTCCATCCATCTATTATATGCATGGCCATTCATGGATAGTCATAAGACCGTACCATTTGGGTATCAATATTTCTTGTCGGGTCAGCTCTTTCTCCTTCACTGATCACCCATAGACTGGATGGTGATTTTCTATGGTCATATTATCAAGTATAGTTTCCTTTTTTTTTTACCAGGTATTTAACTCATGAACTGAAGAATGAGGAAGGACAGAGGAGCTTCCAAGGTTTTGAAAGACTAAACATGATCATTTATGAATGTTGATCATACTCTTACGAAGTTTAGAATGATGGTTTTTCATAAATTTTTTGATATAGAGTTAAATGGAAAAACTTCAAGGTCTTGCCACATCTCGTCTTGCCACATCTCTCAATGGTGCCAACAGATTTCCTGCCAATCTTTTACTTTCCCTAAAATTGCAAAATTCTAATTGTTAAGATCCCAAGTGCAAGAAATTATTCGGTGAGTTGTATTAAATATTCACCTTTTTCCACAAGTTGCTTGCTTCTCTCCATCTCCAACTTCATCTGAACGGATTTCAGCTCATATTTCATTGTACAGAGTGCAGCCTCGCTCTCAATCCAAAGGTTCTTGTACAGAAGTGTTTCAAGGTCCTGAGATCCCTCCTCATCAAAGCTCTTCTTCAAAGTCTTTTCCATGTCCTGAAGATCAGAAAATAGAAGAACTAAAAAAAAAAAAAATCTCTTTCACAAAATTCCTTTTTTTTGGGAAAATATCTAAAATGTTGTTGAAAACCTTTAAAATATCGCTAAAGGGGTAGAAAAAGCACAAATTACACTTCAGGTTATGCTGTTAAATTTCTATATCAATCAGGTACATCCTCAAAAAAATGTTAAAAAAATCCCAAATTGCCCATGTCAGTGTTGGGAAACCAGAATAATTTTGATAATTTTAACCCAACTATCATTTGATTAAGGTATCTTTGGTGGTAAAATTATCAAAGTACGCGTAATTGCTAAGGTTCACAATACCAAATAGAGGCAATTTGAGAATTCTTCAACATTTTTATTGAGGATTACCTGATTGATATAAAAATTTATAAGCATACCTCCACTTGTAATTTGTAATCTTTAGACCCCTTTAATGTAAGGGGCTTCAAATCCTTTTTTGATATTTTCCCTCTTTTTTTTTTGGCGGTCTTCTTCAACGTATTCTCATGGCCCAAAAGATCAGAAAACATATGCATAGGGTTTAGAAGCATTAGTCCCCATCAGCATATGCCAATTTGTAGAAACAAACTTATAATAAAAAAACTCATTTCTCTCTATAGAAACCCATGTGAATATTGGATGAATTCCTAACCAAATGTGGGTAGAATCCCATGTCAATGAATGAATTCCTAAACCCCATGAGCATATAGACAACATTTACACAAACAAACTTCATAAATAGCAAACTTGTTTCTCTCATAAACCCATGTCAACATTTAAATGAGTTCTCTCAAAAAAGATTTTTCTTGGATATTGAGGAACTTTGTACCAAAGAATGCTTCCAACTTATTACCTGGGTTATATCATTGTCTTTCTTGAAGGCCATATTATTACTTGTGGCAACAAATTTATGGGAATCATCAGGTTTCCTGGGTGACCCAGGAGGCATTGATCCTTCCACAGTATCGTGACCCTCATTGTTGCACTGACTCGGAGCATCCTTAACCTCTATTCCTGCAATAGGAGATTTTTCTTCTGCATGTCCCTGGAACAATAACAGTACCCATCCCATAAACACGCAAACAAATAAATGATGATGGACAACATAGAGCCTTTAATATGACAGTTGGGACAAAAAAATTAAGTGGGCTTGAAAAAAAACAAAATATTTATCCCTCTGTTAACCTAATTAGATAGGGTTTAAATGAAAATATTATTACTCCCTTCAGGTACAAATGGGCTGTAATTGTTGCAAACAGCCAAACAAAGAGTTTGCTCCAAACACTATTACCAGAAGAGAGATGGAAATTTTGCACAATTCTATAAATTTATTTTTAAAGAAACCAATTTAGATCTACCACAATTTACAATACATAATGAGCACTTTTAGGGCAAAAACAATTGTCCCATTAACTGCAGTGCTGGTAATTTGAAGCTCCAATACTAGGAATGGAAATAAGGTGGCAGAAAACATATGGCCACAGGAACATGATGGAAAAGAGGAAAGAACTCAAAGACCTTAGTATCTGCACCACATTAGAACATATCATGGGCAAGCAGTATGTCAGATTTTACTCCTGTTTCATATTATAATGATCATAATTGATAAAGGGAGAACATCACAATAATTATGATTCTTATGAAAAGAAATACAAATAACTTGCTAATGGCACGTGCATTTCATTGTGCTCCAACTGAGAAATTGGATGAATAATAAATTTGAAATATTTTATATTTGATAAATTTTTTAATTGTTTAAACTGAACAAAACATTACCATTTTCTTTCCTTCAAGTCATTCAATAATATTTCAATAGCTGTCTAATTTTATATCTAACATCCTAACATTTTTCAATTGTTTTTCCCGGAAAAGCTAAAAACCATTACAGAAATTCCTACTTTGGCAGGAATAGTTCACATTTCTAAATTTTTCCTTCAATTTTCTTTCCTGATGGGCCAAATACAATTGTCATACTTGCTCCTATTTTCTTCCCCAGTGTAGAACATTTTTAAGAAATAGGATTTGGATAGAACATGAAAGAGATTGTCAAGGGGAGATAAATTTGCATCTATACTATCGGATTTAGATAACAAACCAGAGGGCTTTTGAGGATGAATGATTATGTTGAAGTTTGGAGACAGAAACACATGTGGTTCACTAAGTTTCTGAATGATAATTTCAAAAATATTTAATTTAAATGATAATCAAAGATTTTTTATTTCATTTTTAAATCATTCAATATTATATTTACAGTTGCATAATTTTCTAACATTTTCTATTTTTTTCCTTTTAAGTTTTCTTTTTCTGGAAAAGCTTAATTTTATGATAGAAATTCCTGTTTTTGGTAGGATTAATCAGCATATAAAATCCCTTAATTTTTTCACTAAGTATTCCGTTTTCGCTTGCTCCTATTTCTTCAACATAGTACATTACTTTTTTTAACTTTTTTCTGGGAAACTGTACCATCAATTTACTTAATGAATCAAATATATTTGTGTAAAGATTGTAAGAAGAGAGAGAGGGGGGGGGGGGGGAGGAGAGAGAGAGAGAGAGAGAGAGACTTACGTAAC